CCCCAAAACCCCAAAACCCCAAAACCCCAAAACCCCATATAAGCAAAAAATTATTGAGATCCTTAACAAATTTATTAAATTAATCTATGGAAACTATAAGAGTTAAAGTACCCGAATACAAAAGTCAAAAAGTGGTGCCTCAAAGTATCCACGAGGAAGGTATGTTAACTTGCCTTGCCTCCGTACCAGTGTTTGGTTCCCTTTTCAGCCCCTAACTTTATGATATAGATGGAGTTTTCTTGGATAGAGATTTCCCTCCAAAGTCCAGCTCTTTGTACAATGTCTTCACATCCAAACTTCACAGAAATGAACTCAGAATCTGGAAGGAGTTCACTTGGAAGAGACCTATAGAGTGGATGGAAGAAGAACCACAACTATTTGCAAAGAAGATTGACCCAGATAACCTCATTGAGGGATATCTTGGCAACTCATACTTCATCTCTGCCTTGAGAGCTCTTGCTGAAGACCCTGAGAATATCACCAGATTGTTTGACACAAAAACTCCCACTGAAGAGGGACAGTACATCATTAACATGTGTTTGAACGGTGAGAACTTCAAGGTTCAGGTAGACGATTACTTCCCTTACTGTGATAAAACCAAGAAACCAGCCTTCATTAGATCCAAAAAGAACGAGCTCTGGCCAATGCTCCTTGAAAAAGCATGGGCCAAGATCAGTGGCAACTACGAGAACTCAATTGAAGGACTTTGCTGTGAGTCCTTCAGAGCTTTGACTGGTGCTCCAGTTGAGTATCTCCCCCACAAATCTTCTAAAGAGGTCTGGAGACAACTTTGCAACTCTTTCTCAGACAAGAACATTGTCTGTGCTATGGCCGAGAAAGAAACTCAATTCACCAAAGCAAAAGATTTCGATCTTTTCAGTGCTTATGCGTACAGAGTCACCAATATATATGAGTCTGAAACCCTAAGCGGAATGGTGAAGCTAGTCGAAATCAAGAAGCCATTGAAACACAAGTGGCTTAACCTCTTCGGAGACACCTCAAAGTACTGGAAAAAGAAAATGGATACTGAGCTGCACAAGGACTCCATCCTGATAAAACTCGAGGACTATATCAGTTATTTCAAAGATACTCTGATCTGTGCTGCCAATTGAGACCATACTTCATTTAGCCTAAGATGTAGGCAAGCATGTGAGGACTCAACCTTGATCAGAGTCTCAGTAGCTTCCAAAGAGACTATGTCTTTCAGTGTTCACCAATTCAACCAGAGCTACTTTGGAAGAGATCCCCAAGACATTGCCAACTTTATGAGAATTATACTCGGTAGAGAAGACGAAAATGGTGACATAGAGTATATTGACGCTAGGTCAGGCGACAGAGACTCCCTTTGTATCTCTACAGATTGCGAGCCGGGAGAATACTACCTCTGGGTTGAGATCCAAGGAAAGGGGTATCGCCCTAACAATTTCGTGTTCAGGACTTACAGCAATGAAACACCTATCTCATCTGAAATCAAAGGCGAGAAATCCAAAGGCTTTCTTCGTAATGTGGTCGCTTCTATCGCTCAGAAGCAAGGAAAGAAGAAGTATTACACAGATAAGGGAGAACCTAAAATCTCCAAATCCATTGGAATCGATGAAGATAAGAGCAGATTTGGGTATATTTATTACGAAAATAACTCCGACGGCTCTACCCTCAAAGAGGAAATCTGCTTCACGGATATCAGAGGCCTGGTTGCCGTTGATTACCCAAGAAAACCCTCTACTCATATTGAGGTAGGACCTGGAGAGCAGAAACTTGTCTTACTCGATCAGCTCAAAAAGAGCTATATCCTTAAATGTGAATATTATACCAGTATTCACCAATCTACCGAAAGTCTGAAAGATCTCGTAAAACTCAAGGGTGAAAGGAAACAGATCATTTTTGGAGACAAGCCACAAAGAATGTATTACTACGTTTTAGATAATGGAGATGGCTACACTTGGATGTTCGAGAATGAATCTGAGAGCACAATCTTCGATGGAACATTCCATTTCACTTTAACAAATCTCGAAATAGTCGATGCTGAAGAGAAGAGCTCTTGGAAAATTCACTTAAAGCCAGGCAAAAGTATCTACATGAGGATGAACACTATTGATATTACCAAGGCATGGGGCTACAAGTGTAAGCTATCCTTCAGGATCACTGAAGACCTGTCCAATGAGGACAAGCTCCTCCAGAAATTGTGGGAGGAAGGTGAGAGACACAAGTGCTCCCTCAATGGGGAGGAAATCAACGTCTTCTACACCATCCTCTTCATTAACGACATGTATGTCTGGTATTTCGAGAACAAGAGCCAGCAAAAATTCAGTGGCATCTTTAAGTTCTATCTTGAAAACCTTAAGGCTGAAGATGACGATGAGGATGTGCCTCGTACCCAATGGGACCTTTTCCTCAACCCGGGACAAACATGTATCAGAAAAATGCACCAAATTGACCCATTGAAGAACTCTAATTATGAGTGCTCATATAGCTGTAAATTGCTCTAAATAAGAAAATTTCATATAAATTTCGAACAGTTTCAATCTAAAATTTCTTCGCGGGGTTTTGGGGTTTTGGGGTTTTGGGGTTTTGGGG